TGATATCAAAATTGTTAAATTTCGTTTACGGTATCATGAGATATAGTAAAAACTGTTAAATTTATTAAAATAGGGCCCCTATATGTAATTATTTTACATTTTTGGGCCCTTATTTGTAAATTCCCAAATTTATTATTATAAGAGCTGGCTGAATTTTAAACAAAGGTTTTTTTAACAATAACCAGGTTAGTGTTTCACAACAGGACAAGTAAGCGTACCCGAATTTGATATTCCAATAAATCAATATTTTGTCTATGAAATTGTCATTTTTGTCCTAGTTTAATATCCCCTTGAGAATTTTTAACCTCTTAATACTAATATAATTTTAACGCGAGTAATAAACTTTTGATGCTATAAAATTATATTACTCTATTCGAATTAGTTTGACTATCGAATGTCTGCATGTTAACAATTGAATACACAAAATTGTGGAGTGATGTAACCTGTTTTTTTTTCTACGTATCAATATTATTTCAAGTTGAGTTTAGAAATTCATAGACAATGAAATTTGTAAAATGAATGGAAAATTTCCGACCGCTTAAAACTACGCCGGAATCATGTCTTAATCAACCGGAAACTCCGGTATTTTACAATAGATTTTGTGCACTGATTTGGACTGAATCAAACCGATCATTTGTTGCTTTCAAAAATATGTACTTTGTATGTATTGTAAAGGTGTCAGAAATCTACTGTTTGTCTCAATTTCTAAAATTTAATAATCTAAAATAAAAGCAAATTTTCAAAATCTATTAGTAATATAGTAGAACAAGAAATTTTTTTGCCTTTTATTTCTAGTTTATAGATTTTAAAATTGAACTAACAATCGAGTATAGATTTTCGGGCATTATAGTTAATTATACTTTTAATTAACACAAACTGAAAGCACAAATTTCAAGAATTTGAAATTCAAATTAACAAATATATTAAAGGATTTGATATTCAAATCAACAAATATATTAAAGGATTTGGAATAAATATAAAGGGTTCTGAAATTCAAATTAGCAATATATTAAAGGATTTGAGTTATGAAGGCATAGGGATGTTATGTGATCTGAAAGATCACAGTTAGTCCTAAGAGCAGTCTGAGATTGGTAGACTGGCCTTTATAGTCTAGTCTCAGTCTTAAAAAGTCAAAAATTATAATTTAGACCATGGTCTCAAGACTAGTTTTAGAACTATAGTATTAAGCAGTTTTATGCAAATATCTCGTGATATAACAACCAAAATTTAAACAATTTTGATCCCATCCGAACTGTATCATCGTAATGGATCGAATGATACTAGAATCGCTAAAGTCTAATTACTGGATCGTAAGATATTACTATTTAAGTGAATTTTATAATAGTTTAAATATCTTGTGATAGAATTTAGTGACTTTGCTACCTTCGACTCATCTTGATAAGATAGTTTGAATTATCGATGCCGATTAAATGTTTTAACATCACTATGTTTGGGTTTATCGCATGATAAAACTAATTTTAATACATATTGTAGTTAAAACTGAGAAAACTGATAAAAATAAAAGTGATATAACTAGAGTGATTATTAAATTAAACTATTACTATTATATTATATATATAAAAGTTTACTATATTAGGATTTAAAAAATTAAATAACATCTCAAAGTTTATAAAAAAAAATAATATGTCTTATATAGTAACAAGCAAAATAAACCTTAACAAACTAAGTAAAAAAAAAAAAACCTATATAGTCTCTGGAGCTCAAAAGGCTTATTAGCTTAAAAGACTAAAAATTAAAGATAATTGACAAGCAGAGCTAATAAACTAAGTAATTAAAGACAAGCTAACAAGAATGAAACTAAGAAAAAACAAAAAGCTTAAAAAAATAGAAGTATAAAAAAAAGACAAAGAAAATCTA